GTGTGTGTGTGTGTGTGTGTGTGTGTGTGTGTGTGTGTGTGTGTGTGTGTTTGGGTGTTTACATATAATGGCTCATTCAACTGTATATTTGCCCTGAAACTGCAAATGCATTTTTTATTTTGGTTTGTGAGATTCTTTAAGGAGTGCTCAACAAAAGAAAACTGAAACAAGACAAAAGGCCTTCTATTTAGTTTTATTTTATAGTCCCAATTCCAATGAAATTGGGATGGTGTATAAAACTTGAAAAAAAAAACAGAATGTGATTGATTTGCAAATCATTTACAACCTATATTTAATTGAATACACTGCAAAGACAATTTATTTAATATTCTAACAGATAAATTTTGTTTTTTGCAAACCTTCACTCATTTTGAATTTGATGCCTGCAACACTTTCCAGAAAAGTTGGGACAGGGCTTATAAAGACTGGGAAAGTTGTTGCCCAAAAAACACATGTTTGGCTCATTCCACAGGCGAACAAGTTAACTGGAAACAGGTGCGTGTCATGATTGGGTATAAAGAGAGCATCCCTGAAAGGCTAAGTTGTTCACAAAAAATGATGGGGTGAGGTTCATCACTTTGTTCTTAAACTGTTGGACTATTTGCTCATGCAGTTGTTCACAATGTACCATTGCAAGGTATTTAGGGAGTTCATCATCTACAGTCCATAATATCAAAAGATTTAGAGAATCTGGACACATCTCTGCAAGTAAGCGTCAAGTTCAAAAATGAACATTGAATGTCCGTGACCTTTGATATCTCAGGTAGCGCTGCATTAAAAACCAACATCATTCTGTAACAGATTTAACCACATGGGCTCAGGAACAAAGAATTATTCCCTGTGCAAGAGGACTGAAAAATCAGGCTGACCACCCACTATATAAATTTCAATATATTGATTGATTTAATGCTAAAACACAAACATTACTTTTCTATCTAACTAAAACATGTACAGTAGAGGCTCTAAAGCTCAGAAAAGGTGCTTTTTTCTCAAGCATGGGGCTATAATGGCAGAATTCCGGTTTTTGAGGATGTGAAGCTCATTTAATCATTGAGCTTTGAAGCGAGATGAACTGATGTACGGTAAGACTGAGTGACAGCAAGACAGATGTACTTAAAGTTAGAAACACTTTGGCTTTTTGTTTGATTAATAGCAACTGACAAGTAACCAGTCACAAAATTGATGTCTAATAACTTTTCATTATTCAGTTAGAATACTGACAAATAGTTTCAGCTATTATAAAAGCATCAGTTCCCTAGGGACTGAAGTGAATCCATTTACCACTATTGACAGTTGACACTTGTATCATATTCTAGTGTTATTCAGAGTGTTTCCTCTAGCATGTCGTCAAACAAAACACTATGCTTCAGTCAATATTTTGTTAAAGGGATCCCCGATTAGTTGTAACATTAGACTTTGATAAACATATATTTTAACTATAAAATAAAGACTGTAAAAATACTGTAGGCAATTTAGTTTTGAAAAATTTTAAACTAAAAGTTTAAAAATATATTGCACGGATGGGACCATTTTATTTACACTCAAAGCATTCTGGGTAAATGATAACGTGGATAGGTCCTCGGTGTGAGCGAGCTATATCCACCCTGAAGGTTAATCTTGGACAATATCTGATGATCGACTCTTTTAAATGAAACCAGAGAGCGTTGACAGAGCAGTGGCGGAGCCAGACATTTTTCTCAGGGGTGGCCAGACGGGGACCACTACTCACACAGGGGTGGCCAGGAAAATTATATCATTTTTTTTACTTAAAGGTTGTCTGCAGATCTTTGTGTTTTGGTAATTTCCTTGTGTCCTTCTACAGGCAGTGACTACTGTATTTTTCGGACTATAAGTGGCACCCGCCACTTTTTAAAAAAAATGCGCGAACATCAACAAATAAGCTGCACCCCCTACCCCCCATCAGTAAAAACAAAAACAGCTGCACCCC